ACAACTGTTTACATGATTTGATTCTCAGGCCCTTTGGCCTTAAGAGACTTCAGTGACCCTGTCCTATTCCTGTATTTCACCTTAACACTTCGTAACAGTGACATTTCATTTCTCACACCGTCACTCTGTGGGTCAGCTGATGGAGTGGGGGGAGGGATAAAGGACCTAGGGCTGGAGAGAGCGGGGTCTCGTTCCCCTCCTGTGCTGTGCTGCTTGCTTGTGGCGTCGAGAGCCCTGTTGCTCCCCTACAGGAAGCCGGTCTATTGATCTATAGGTATTGTACATCTATAGGGTAACACGCCACTTTCTTATTTTCTTGCCCTTTTGGTCAAACAAGGTGCGGTAGGATCAGGGGGCGCTGTCTCTGAGTGCCGTAGAGATCTTTGCTTCTGTCCGTTTACCCTAATCCGCTTCTTACCCCTTTTTAATTCCGTGCTTTTTATCTCTCCCTCCACCCCTGTATTTTACAGCTCGATCCATGAATTGTATCCCCTAACACTGCGCTTGAGTGAGCCGTGTGCTGATTTTAGTGGCCAGAGAGTGTGCCAGACAACCTTGCTGGAGCCGCGGTGGGGAGGAGGCGGTTCTTCTCAGTGGGGGACTCTGGGGAACGTCACATGGGGCAGGAGGAGGAGGAGGAGGTGGAAGGCACGGAAAACTAGGCTTGGTGCTTGGCGTCGGTGGTCTGGACCGAGTACAGGCATGGCAGCCAAGACCAGTGGGATCAGCAACGTGGATTGATTCCCGCTGCTGCTGTCAGATGGCAGGATGCTGACGTGGGAATTGGTACCGAAGACGGGAGGCCAACTGGAGGTCTCTGAGGGACAGTTGTGCATCCGAGAGGCCGGCTGCTGGAAGGAGAGGCAGACCCCGGTCTGCCGCACGATGGGAATTCAACTTCAGTTCATAGGGAGGAGCACGACAGCGGTGTGAAAGAGGAGGAGGAGGACTATATTGACTGAGCAGCTCTGGAAACATGTCCAAACCTGAAGCAATTTTCAAGGCTGGGAAGATGTTCGAGGAAACCATGAACGAGCCAGATTTGTGTCTGCTTTGAGTGTCAGGCCTGGTTTTGGGAAGGGGAGAAGACTTGGGGAGAGCTTCCCCAAGCAGGAATGAAGCTTTTCTTTCCATATCGAAAACAGCAGGAAAAATGGGCAAAAGCTGCATGAGAAAACTCCCCCTTGCATATGGCACGCTAATTTAGGGGACCTCAACGGGAGGCTGAAACATACACAAAGAATCTGGGGAATACTGTGCAAACTAAATTCAAAGGAGCAAGAAAATTCACTAAGGCTTCGGCGCTTTAGTTCTTGAGCAAAAGGACCAGCTGCTAGAGCAGGACATGAGGAACTTGAAAAGGGACAGCATTGTTAAAGACGCTGACCACAAGGAAGTTACAAAATAAATTTCTGCTTGCCTCGTCTAGGGCATCCACATATTCACAATTTTGCTCAGCTCAGAAATTCTAGATCTGATCTGGCTTTCCTTGATCTGCAACAGTGTGGCGTAGTGGTCAAGAGCATGCGACTGGGACTCTGATGATCTGGGTTCTAGTTCCCGCTTGGCCATGGGGCCAACTGGGTGGCTTTGGGCCAGTCACAGACTCTCAGCCCAACCTACCTCACAGGGTTGTTGTTGTTGTGGGGATAAGATGGAGGAGGAGAGATGATGTAAGCTGCCTGGAGCCCTTTGTAGGAAAAAGGCAGGATATAAATCAGAAAATAAATAAATAAATAAATAAATCACCATTAAGATTTCTCGGTTGTGCATATCCCCACCTTTGCTTTGGCAAGAATTTTCTTGGAGACCTTCTGATGTTGTCACCGATCTAAGGTGTTTCAGCTCTTCGTTCAGTACACAGTCATCAAGATTTGGCAGCTGGTCCTTCCTCCTGGAGAAGGGCTGGATCGCTGAGGAGTCCATCTTACCTGCAAGAGTTCACATGCTGGCCCTGAATTCTTCTCCTCCATCTCTTGGATGGTGCTCTCAAGAGCGGAGAGTTTTCCGGAGAGTTTGGCCAGGTACTCATCCCTTTCCTTTGCAAGTTCCTTTTCCAGGTCTTCTGCTTGGGCCAGAAGACGCATCTCATATTTTTCCAGGAACAAACGTAGGTCTCTGAACTGAATCACTGTCAATTCCTTTTTCTGTTTGTATTTCCTCCTGCAAGGAGTATATGGGAAGAGGAAAAACAGTCACCCAAGTCCAAACGAGGGCTATTTTCCAAAGAGCAACAAGGGCCCAGCTTCATCTTGGCCTGTCCTTAGCCATCGCTCCTGTAGTTTCGGTCCGTGATGGCGAACCTAAGGCACGGGTGCCCCAGCGGGGACGCCGAGCCCTCTCTGTCGACATGCCAGCCAAGTCGCCCCGGCATCGCCCCTGCAGCCACGCGCATATCCGGAAAGAGTAATGGTGTCTTGGGAGAGAGGCACTCTTGCTAGCACTGGACTCGCCAAACACCACCCCGGCGTCTCTCAAGCAGGAGCAAGGGGCTTGGTCCAGAGAAAGTGCTGCAAGAGCACAGATGCAAGAACCTAGGCAGAGATGTTCCGTTGTGGGACATCCCAGCCTAGCCCAGCGTCCGCTTCCCCACCTCTCACACAGCTGTGGGGGAAATTGAGCAGTGCTGCTTCCTTCTGCAGCACTGCTGCCCCCTCCTATTTTGGAGAGCGGTTCATGTACTCTGCCTCCTGGTCCAGAGGCCTCCTGTGGAATATAAAGTGAAGGTATACGATTAGCTTCCTCTCCTCTGTGCCGTGTTTCGGACATGAGCCATTTGCCCAGTGGAAACTGCTTGACAGCTGTGGTGAGCCAAACTTGGCTCATAATCACAGTTAAGATTATGGCACCAGCTACAGATAAGTTCTGAGCAGACATACATCAGCAAAACGGTCTTTTGGTGTCGAAATCACCAAGTCGTCCCAAGAGGCAGAGTCAAACGGGTGGCCGGTGGCAGGCGCGACAGCCATGGCGGGAGTGCCAGGAAGGGAGGGGCGAGCAGCTGGCAGGGGCACCTTCCTCCTGTCTCCTCCTGGCCTGCAGCATGTGAGTGGCCACCCAAGCCACCCTCCTAGCGCTGGGCCTGCCTGCCTGCTCGAGGGCTGTGCTGCCGCCCCAGTGGCCACGGCGGGGTGGGGGGGGGAAGCTGGGTGAAGGGAGCGAGCCATGGGGCCGAGGCGGCGGAGCAGCAGCAGCAGCTGGGGTGAGGAGGAGGAGGAGGAGGAGAGGGCGCCCGGGATCGATGCGGCGCTTCCTGGGGAGGGAAGCCAAAACGAAGAAAAGCGGAGGCTGGAACTGCTGCGAAGCAAGAGCGGGGGGTGGCGGGGACCCCCCCTCCACCCGACCCCGCTCGCCAAGGCTTGGCAGCACTGTGGGGGCGCCTCGAGGAAGTTCCCAACTGTCACACCGATCCGCAATATAGGCTGGGAATCAGTTTCTTGTCAGGGCAAACGGGTTTATTTACAATTGAATGCATGGATCCATGGGTGCCTAAAATAGGAACACCCCATGTTAATTTCCTTAGGGTTATAGAGAATACACAAAAGGGGAGTGAATACAATACACAGGGAGGTGATTGGATACTTTGATATGGATGGGAAAGTGATTGGATACACGACACAGCACCATAAAGAAAAGTTACTCTAATTAAGATGCCTTTGACAAGTCGTCTAAACTAAAGCTATCTTGAGCAGGCCTGCCAGAAAGGGTTACATTTGTGAACTTTATAGGGTCAAGGAGGCACCTTGGCAAACCCATAAAATACAAAGGTAGCAACTGAGTTACCCACTAACTGAGTGGGGTCATTGGGTCTTCACCACCAGCCACTGAGGCGCCCTTTGTGATCTGTTTATGGCAAGGCAGTGAGGCAGGATGATATACCTTGTTTTCCTGTGTACGGCTTTCCCTTTTTTATTATCCCACCAAACTGCTAGGTGAAACATAATTCTGCACGTATCTGAGTTACCGCACTCTGGCTGTACTATGAGTTGGGAAATATCCTGTGTAAGTGGCTTTAAGACCATGATCTGGCCCATTGAAGACTCCTGGGGTGAGGCATCCACCGGGGTGGCCACCATACGGGTACCTTGTATAACAGGTTGAATACGCTTGATAAAGCATGGGATACAACAGGGTAAGATGCGAATAGCTCCTAATACACAACTCATGACCAGCATCTTTTTCCACCATGCCTTACCAAAAATGCTATCCCACCAGTGCGTGTATATAACTGTGGTGTTTTTACAATGTGGCCTCCCTCTGGCTCACCATTCGTGAGGTATTTTGGGGTGCCGCAAAATTGGCTCCAGCTTCTAGCAAAAGACAGATTCCTCCTGACCAGGGAGACGGGCCGCCCAGCCCTGCAGCTTCACCTTGAAGGTGCAGGCTGCCTGTGCAGGTGAGGGCCATTTGGATGAACACAGAAGCACAAAAGCAGAGCGATTCCGAAGGGACCCCCTGGGGCAACCAGCCTGACCCCCGGCTCCAGCCAGCTCTGTTCATGACATGCCTGCCCTATGCATGCCTGAGATATACTAGAATAATAGTTGGCAGGCTCTGCCAGTAACAGCCTCAGTTGGAGAACCAAGGAAGCAACCCTCCCAAGCCACTTTGACCAGAATGAAATGCAGAGCAGCTCGTAAAGCATGGAGCTTTTAAATGTGATGCGCCAAGGAAACAGTCTTGTCTTCCCCAAGTGTTGCAAACCCTGCCCTGGCATGCCAGCGGTGCAATGTCTAGCAACTTTGTGTGGCAAGTTGACGTCGTTGGGCTTTGTCTGTCTGAAGTGGCATCGGCGGCTTCACTACAAACTCTGGATGCAGATACAGCACTCTAATGCCATGGTGAGCTGGGAAAACTCCAAATGGTGGAAGAATGGCCCAGAGAAACGAATACC